TAGAAACTGTTAAGTGTTTTCAGTCAACCTTACGTTCACACTCACGGAGCATGCGGAAGGTCGACTGTGATTGTGAAAACGTTGAAAACCATAATAATTGCTTTGAATTCGGTATTCAACCATTGGAATAGAACTTGACTGTGATATTCCTGTATTATAAACTGTTTAGTTTTCTAATATTTGACAATTACTTAGGCCTGTTACCAAGTTTTTCATGCCTCAACTTAAGCCTTCTTCACTACAGTTTTCAGTTCACTTACCCGGCAATCTTGTTTCTCAAAGGTTTGCTTGGGATAATTGCAATTTCTTCACATATCCTCTTGTTTGTGTGGAAATCGAGTGTCAGACGAGTGTAGTACTTCTCGATGATCACTCGTGCAGCCTTTTTGACTGTTTTGGTTCTCACCCGACCCTAAAAGCAAGGAAACCATGTCTGTCTAAACAGATACGTTCCATTATATAAACCACTTTCTTGCCTTAACGCGAGTAAGATTTAATCAAATAAACTCAAATATAAAGAGTGGATATGTTTAGGATTGTGCAAATCGCATTAGTGCAATTACACTTTAACGAACAATAGGGTGATGGGCACAGATTTTTTACGTTCAAGACAGATTTCTCACCATTTTGGCTTCGGGAGCACGGAAAAGAGACCTGTTCGCACAAAATTATTGCTGATGTGCGATTGGCTAAAATCATTACTACCAAGACGATCCAAATCCAGAGTTTGTGCGCCTTGTACACAGATTGTTCAGTAATATTTCTTTCTGTGCTCATTTTTGTACTGTGAGATATTATGCTCAGAAACGACACCATCCAGCTTGTCTCTGGTAGAAAGTAGTGTGTAGGCAAGCAATAACAAATGAGCACGCTCCAGCCACAACTCCAAGCTCATTCTAACCTACTGTACATGTAGCTGGAGAGTAGGCCAACGTACGGTACGTGTGATAAAGGAGGTGCCGGTACATGTACATGTACTGCACGCACCTAACTTTGCACACTGCTGAAAACCGTTGACTGGAACAATAATAGTCAGAGAGTGAGAGATTTTTGGGAAGATTTTTGGTGGACCAGCATATCTTCAATGTAAATCTATATATTTGTGTTAAAAAATAATAATATTTTAATAAAAGAAAGAATTAAAAAATAAACGACGTCTTCTTATCAAACATCCCTTTTCGACTTTTAAATCAACGGGTTTAATTAATATACCAGATTAAGTCAAATCTATTAAGGGAGAATGGATTCTGCGAAAAATTAAAATTCGTTTGAAAAGCAAATCAATAATCAGGTCGGGGTGGGGTGGGGGTGGAGACGAGTTGTGCGTTGGTCACGAATAATTCACGAGGGTTGGTGGGAATGGAAAAGTCTTTTCTTAAGTTCTTTTAGACTTGATATTTGTCACTTCTTTGAAAAAGCGATACTAAAACATTTACATGTAGGCCTATATGCATGTAAACTTCACAGCAAGTTTAGTGATTATGTACATGTATCCCCAACCCTACGCCTCCTAAATACATATACCAATATGCAATATAAACGGGTCCCAATCGTTTGGTACATAGCATTTTCAACGAGTATATAGACGCATAAAACGCTTATGCCATAAAACTATCCCAAAATATATCATTTATCTTTTTCAATATTTATTCTATCTACAGCAGCGAACAGTTTGCCTTCAGAGAAAAAAGCATATTTCGAACATGATCGATTACCTATGACAGCGTTATTGAAGTTGCTGTTTAATAGCCGTGATAAATCTATTCCTCCATTTAATTTTCTTAAATGGATTTCCGGCTGAAAGATTATGTTGTGATTTGTTGAATCGACTTATTTATATTAATGAACCGGAACCGAAATCCAATTTAGGTCAATGCAGCTCATATGTAGATGATCTACTCACGGCTTATCAGCCGATGCTTAACCTTTGCGTTTGATAACTCGTTTATAAACTGTTGAAAACCGACTACACCCAAAACTCAAGCAGGTTGTCTGGATATAGTCCACACCGGGAGACGACAGTGAGACGATGTCTTGTCATCGGTTCTTGGGACGCTGTCTGGGGTTTTTAGTGCTTCTTTCCCACACCACAGGACTCGGGAAAGCACAGAGTGATAATTCAACGGTAAGGACAAGGGTTGGGAAACAATAAGAGCCTCGCGGTCTAGTGTTGATATTCTGTACACAATCTGCATATAAGACTCTGGGTTTTAGGTCAAATTTGTTTTAGAATAATAATGAAACCGGTCACACTATATACTCGTGTAACGAAGAATGTACATGTATTTGCTTATTCAAGCATACTTTTTCGTTTGAAAACCATTTAGGCCGGTAATAATACCGTCTCCACTGACTCATTTCTTAAAACAGCTGACATGTAAACAAATACGTTGTGCTGCTAGAGAATTCTGTGATAAATCTTACGGTGAGTTACCTTTTTTTTCTTTCTTTTTTTCTTTTCTTTTTTTTTTTTTTTTT